AAAAATGTCATGGATTTTATCAATATGTTTATCAATAACCCATTTCCTATAGTGAAGAGAGAAGGAGACAATGAGCAGACACGTCAAACAGTTATAACTGTGGCAAAATGCCCCAAACAACAGGTCACAGAGTTTATTTATACCAAGAGATAAAAGAGAGAGAGAGAGAGAGAGAGATTGTGTGTGTGTGTGTGTGTGTGTGTGTGTGTGTGTGTGTGTGTGTGTGTGTGTGTGTGTGTGTGTGTGTCATGCAAAGAGACATAGAACAATACATTTACATTCAGTTGATTGAGTCCATGATCAAGAATTAATTAACATAAAGTTTCCCATAACACTTCCTCAAAAGAATGAAGCAGGACCAGCTGGCTGACCATCTGCAAACAGGTACAAAGATTAATCAAACAAGTTATTTGCAGAAGTATCAAGTTTCCCGTGTACTTACATAAAATACACCCTGACATACTTTATGTTGTGTTGCATTTAGTCAACGTAAACTTAAATCTGGCCTGAAGAAGAGGTTCCAGTGTGTGTTTGAGGGGATTGCTAAAGCAGGAAACCCAACACATCTGAATGAGATCTACACTGAGCTCTACATCACAGAGGGAGGGACTGGAGAGGTCAACAATGAACATGAGATCAGAGAGATTGAAGTGGCGTCCAGGAAACTAAAAAAACTAGAAACGACAATCAGACGAGACCTCTTCAAACTCCCACCTGGGAGAGACGAACTTGTTAGAACAGTGATCTCAAAGGGAGTGGCTAGTATTGGCAAAACAGTCTTAACTCAGAAGTTCACTCTGGACCGGGCTGAAGACAACGCCTACCAGAACATCCACTTCATGTTTCCGTTCTCCTTCAGAGAACTGAAAGTGCTAAAAGAAAAGAAGTTTAGTTTGGTGGAACTTGTTCATCACTTCTTCACTGAAACCAAAAATAACAGGAGCTTTGAAGAGTTCCAGGTCGTGTTCATCTCAGATGGTCTGGATGAGTGTCAACTTCCTCTGGACTTCCACCACAGTAAGATCCTGACTGATGTCACAGAGTCCTCCTCATTGGAAGTTCTACTGACAGACCTCATCAGGGGGAACCTGCTTCCTTCTGCTCGCCTCTGGATAACCACAAGACCCGCAGCAGCCAATCAGATCCCCTCTGAGTGTGTTGGCATTGTAACAGAGGTCAGAGGGTTCACTGACCCACAGAAGGAGGAGTACTTCAGGAAGAGATTCAGAGATGCGGAGCAGGCCATCAGGATTATCCTCCACATCAAGACATCACGAAGCCTTCACATCATGTGTCACATCCCAGTCTTCTGCTGGATCACTGCTACAGTTCTGGAGGAGGTGTTTAAAAACAAAGATGGGGGAAAGCTGCCCAAGACTCTGACTCAGATGTACATTCACTTCCTGGTTGTTCAGGCCAAAGTGAAGGTCAAGTATGATGGAGGAGCTGAGGCAGATCCACACTGGAGTCCAGAGAGCAGGAAGATGATTGAGTCTCTGGGAAAACTGGCTTTTGATCAGCTGCAGAAAGGAAACCCGATCTTCTATGAATCAGACCTGACAGAGTGTGGCATCGATATCAGAGCAGCCTCAGTGTACTCAGGAGTGTTCACACAGATCTTTGTAGAAGAGACAGGACTGTACCAGGTAAAGGTCTTCTGCTTCATCCACCTGAGTGTTCAGGAGTTTCTGGCTGCTCTGCATGTCGATATGACCTTCATCAGCTCTGGTGTCAATCTAATGGAAGACAAACAGCAACATTCTCTGTGGTCTAAACTTTTCAGCGGTCCAAATCTAAATGATCTCTATCAGAGTGCTGTGAACAAGGCCTTTGAGAGTCCAAATGGACACCTGGACGCTTTCTCCTTGGTCTGTCCCGGCCGGCCAATCAGACTCTCCTAAAAGACCTGCTGGGGAAGACAGGAAGCAGATCCAATCAGGAAACAGTTGATCACATCAACAAGAAGCTCAATGAGAGTCTGTCTGCGGAGACAAGCATCAACCTGCTCTACTGTCTGAATGAACTGAATCATCTTTGTCTGGTGGAGGAGATCCAACAGTCTCTGAGTTCAGGACGTCTCTCTACAGACACTGTCTCCTGCTCAGTGGTCAGCACTGGTCTTTATCCTACTGTCTTCAGAAAAAGATCTGGAGGTGTTTGACCTGAAGAAATGGTTGTGTCAGTTTTAGTGGGAGGACATAATTGAATCAGTTAATAAAAGTATAAAAACAATAATCTCAGATAAAAAAAACACAAATCTTCAGTCAAATCCAACTTATAAATGTATAACTAGATGTAATTTTTACCTGTAGAAGGTGGAGGGGCAACTGGGAGATTTGGAACTTTTAAAATCTTTATTTTCACCTCTTACATCTAAACTTTAAATGTTACTATTTTACATGTCAGACAATTGTTTGTATAAAACGCAAATAAACAGTTCACCACAATTGAATGTATCTAAGACTAATTGTTAAATCTGTGAAGATGGGGACATAAACACAGACATTTTTCCCTTATTTGTCAGATTTATTTGATTTGATGCTTTATAGATGTTACATTTCTAGTTATTAAGAATATTTAATGCTACAGTCGAAAGATGACAAGATTTTTAGGACAATAACATTTGATTTTTAACAATAAGATAAAAAATTAAATAACTTCATGAAGTTTTGCTTTTGCAAGTTGATTGAATAATTAGAAACGGACTGAGGGAAGTTATTCACTAGGTTATTAGAGATAGAAGTGTCATGTTCTGTGTCCCTTTGTTCCCCAGCTCCTCCAGTTCCCACTCCAGGTTCTCCTTTTGTGTTCTCTTAGCGCCCTCATGTGTCCTTTGTCTGCATCTCTGTTGTGTGTCTTAAGTTGTAGCCACAGCCTCTTGTATGTGTATGAGTTTGTGAGTGTCAGTATGTGTATATGTTTGTGTGAGTCCTTCCCTTAGTCTTTAGGTTTAGTTTTGTGTTTTATATAGTGTTAGGTTTATCTGCCCTCCTCTGGTTCTCTTCCCCATCCAGATAATTGTTGTCACCTGCCTTCCTCCAGCCTCACTCCATACACCTGCTTCCTGTTTCCCTAATTGCTCCTCCCTGTCTAAATAAGCCCTCCTTGTCTCATTGTTCTTGTCGGTCCATTGTTGTTTTATGTCAGCGTTGTTTGTTGTCTCTCCCTCCTGGTCTCTGGTTCTCTGCTCATGAAGTGAGCTTTTGGATTTTTCCCTGCTTCATTTTGTTATTGGGTTTTTTGCCTCCTGCCCCTTTTGGATTTTTATTTTGTCATCCTAAATAAAGGATTCTTCTTTATTTAACATTCCTGCCTCGTGTCATCCTGGGTCTGCATCTTGGGTCCTAACCTCCTGCTCCTAAACGTGACAAGAAGTGTAGAAGAATTTCAAAGAATCATGAAGCGTTGTTATTAAGTAGCCTAATAACTCTAGGTTTGTGTTTTGAGTAGCTAAAAGTAACTCAGTGAAAATACATTTCAAGACCCTATATTGGTTTGAACTGAAGTCATAATTCAGATTCAATAAATAGGTAAATGTAATAATTTGTACAGACAGCAGACAAAGCTGTAGTGCTTGGTGTGGCGTGCTGATGTTAAAACAGTTCCTTTGGCTCTATTTTCTAATCGCTATGCTAATAATAATCTCACCTTGGGCCTAATGTCACTGAGGGCACAGGAAATGCACCTAATTATTTATCTGTAAGTAGCTGTATATATTTTATCATTTCAGGTGTATATTTCACACACGATAAACCGAAACACAAGACTGTTGTGTTATTCCCGTGCTCACACGACTGCTGTTAGTACTGCTGAACTCTTGTTGATGCAAAAGTGAAATCAAATACAGCAGTTCTGAAGTTTCATAAACATTGCCACCACCATAAATGTGAGTGAAATATAGGAAAATCATAGTGACTCACTGACTGTTAAAGTGATGAAGGAAAGCAGCTGTTGGAAAGCATCAGGAGGGAAAGTCTGTACAGGCTGATTCCCATCAGGTCATGAGGAACAGATGCCCACTTAAATTCTCCCTGCAGGATCGTGGCGCCCCACGGGGGGTGGGGGGGGGTGGGTGGGGACGCTCTTGCGCACAAGTGGCCAAGGTCTCTCCTTCATGCGTTCCCTCCAGAGGCCCCCATACCCCCCACTTTACCCAGGGTGAGGGAGCAGGGTCTGTCCATGATCCTAATAGCACCACGGTGGCCGGGGAAACATTGGTTGGTGAAGATCTCCCAACTCCTGTGAGGTTCCCCATGGCAACTGCTGCTCCTCAGGGACCTGTTGTCCCAGGCTCATGGGGAGATACACATCCCACTAACTTGGGTTGAGGCTGATGTTGGCTGAGCCGGCCATTTTGATGGAACATTTGTGGGGATGCATGCTGCTGTTTGAGTCAAATTACTAACTAACTAACTAACTAACTAACTAACTAACTAACTAACTAACTAACTAACTAACTAACTAACTAACTAACTAACTAACTAACTAACTAACTAACTAACTAACTAACTAACTAACTAAATGATATACTAGCTAACTACATCTTGGGTTGAGGCTGATATTGTCTGAGTCAGTCATTTTGATGACATTTGTGGGGGTGCACTCAGCTTTTTGAGCCACATTACTAACTAACTAACTAACTAACTAACTAACTAACTAACTAACTAACTAACTAACTAACTAAGTGACTAACTAACTAACTAACTAACTAACTGACTAACTAACTAACTAACTAACTAACTAACTAACTAACTAACTAACTAACTAACTGAGATACTAGCTAACTACTTCTTGGGTTGAGGCTGATATTGTCTGAGTCAGTCATTTTGATGACATTTGTGGGGGTGCACTCAGCTTTTTGAGCCACATTACTAACTAACTAACTAACTAACTAACTAACTAACTAACTAACTAAGTGACTAACTAACTAACTAACTAACTAACTGACTAAGTGACTAACTGACTGACTAACTAACTAACTAACTAACTAACTAACTAACTAACTAACTAACTAGCCATGCTAACTATCCCACGGTGGCCGGGGAAAATTTGATTGGTGGAAATCTCCCAACTCCTGTGAGGTTCCCCATGGCAACTGCCGCTTTGCAAGGACCTGTTGTCCCAGGCTCATGGGGAGACACACCACCCACATCCAGAAAGGCTGGCCCTGTGGGCGTGGCCCCTGAGAGGCAGACTCTTGCGTGAATGAGCTTTCAGCTGGTGTTAGAAAGAGCGGGTCATTTATCTTTTATCATCATTAACCTCTCAGGTTAACGAGTATTGCCTCTCCACTCTGGACAACATCTGTCCTTTCAGAACCAGATCAGTTCCTGCAGTAAACTCCCAGGCTCAATTACAGCATTTGCAGCCTGTGTATGAAAACACGTCTCCCCGTCCACCTTCTGACATCCGTTAACTCTGTAGTCAGAGATGCGAGGGTTGTCTATTACTCCAACCTGGTGTCGCAGAGACAAAGTCAGTAAGGTAAGATCTAGCATCTCTCTTTCAGCCTTATCTCTCCCAACCCCAACCCGACCCATGACCCTAGAAAGTTTAGCTCGTGTTTATTTGCCTGAGCTAGCATGCCCCTTCGACACTTTCCCCTCATCTGTGTTTAAAAATGACACCCCCACTGTGGGATTAACCCTCTTATTCCCGTAACCAACTCATTGGATCTCTAACTTTTTTCTTTACATCAGCCTCTTTTGGTTGAGAGATCGGTACCTCCCTGGGAAATAAATTCATTATTCTTCTCGTCTCTGGATTAAAAGATCTTAACACAAAAGCTTCTTCTCTTTCTTGTTTCAAATCATCTTCACTTTACTGCAGCCTTCTGATGTGCCTGAGTGCAGCCATTTTTTCATCTACCTTTAATAATTTCTCGTCTGTTTTCTTTAGTTCCCCTGTCATGTTTTCACAAAAACGCATCTTTTCTTGAATTAAAATATTATATCTAGCATTATCTTTTCCCAATGCAGCCGGTTTTACCTCATTACTTTGTGTTGAGGCGTCCTTCAAAGCTAGCTGACTCATTTTATGTAACTGGCTGATCTTCCTTTCTCTATTAGTCTCAGGTCTGTTCGGAGGTCGCTCAATCTTATTTGTGTCAAAATCGCGTTTTTCTTTTAATTTTCTGTAAACGCTCAGGTTGTCATTTTCCTTTCTGAGCGCTGCTATTCGACTGTCATTCTCTAAAACGAGTTTATTTAGAGTAGAAATCTTTTGATGGAGGATTTTCATTTCTGCATCATGTTTCAAGCCTCTCTGTTGCATATTTTCTGCATGTTTGGCTTCTCGTATTTTATACTCAAAAGCAGATTTTTCTCTAAATGCTGAAATTTCATCTTTCACTTTCTGAATTTCTCTCTCAGTTTGGCTTATTTTGTTTTTCAACTCCCAGTTGTATTCTTCTATATCGTATTGCATTTTAAAATCGCGTCGAGTGCTCTGACCAACAATGACTTGTAGTAAGAAATGATGTTCTCTGTATGACGTATCAAAGCTTATGATCACGTGCTTCTATGAAGCGTTCTGATCTGCCTTGCTGACGCTTGCTCAGAGGTTACTAGAGGTCGCAACGTTCTAATTTGCATATTCATGACGCAATTGCGTTGGTTACGTGACATTTGCGCCTGGTCACGTGAGTCGAGTATGAGGAAAATGAAAGTGTGATTATCGCACAAATCTTTCGGCAAACGTGTTCTGCTGGAAATACGCGGATTAATTGCTCGGGTTGCAGGCACGGATCCCCGTTTCTGTCAACTTTGATCTCAGCAGCTGGAGCGGGGATAAAGACGCGCTTCTTCAGATAAAAGTGGTAATTACGTCTAACTTTAATATTGTTAACAATAATTGCAGCAAAGCATCATTTACTGCAGTTAGTCACTAGTGAAGCATAACTTAACTTTCATGAGCAAAAAACCCACAAAAAGGATTCAATAAATCAGCAAAGCGGGAAGAAATGTTATTTTTGTTTTTACATTCTTACTTCATTTCAAACTATAGTGTTTTCCTATGGGGTGCCATTTGTAAAGTCAAACAGTCATAATCTAACAGCAATATTTTTGGTTATTTAGCATATCATAAGAGAAAAAATTGAGAGTTCACTTTTTCAAAGTCATATTTCCACCATGTTATTCATACATTTATAAATGTTAAAGTTTCCAAATAAATATTTAGTTAGCACGCTAAATATTTAATTTATAGTTAAATATTTATGTTGCAAACTAAATATTTAGGTCTGATCTAAATACTTAGTTTGTAAAATAAATATTTAATTCACTAACTAAATATTTAATTTACTAATTAAATATTTATTTTGGAAATAAATATTTAAAATTTAAATTAAATATTTAATTTGTAAATTAAATATTTTCCAAAGAAATATTTAGATCCCAGCTAAATATTTCTTTTCCATGATGTTATTTAGCTCCACACTATAGTTTATATTTTTGGGTCAGACTTAAATATTTATTTCCCAAATACTGATTTTGCAAACTAAATGTTTAGCTCCAAAATAAATATTTAGCTGGGATCTAAATATTTATTTCGGAAAATAAATATTTAATTTACAAATTAAATATTTAGTTCCAAAATAAATATTTAATTAGTAAATTAAATATTTAGTTAGTGAATTAATGATATGCTAAATAACCAAAAATATTGCTGTTAGATTATGACTGTTTGACTTTACAAATGGCATCCCATATTTGTGATGTCCTTGTGTCAAACGAAAACAGCAGGCCAGTGGAAAGCACTAGTGACTTTGCCATTGAGGATGTTAATGATGAGCATTTGGATGACTTGGCTTTTCCTGAGGTAGACAGTGTTTGTGATACCAGGCAGTTAAGAGAGCAGTTACACAAGAACTTGTCTTCATTGTTCCTGAAGATGGAAAGTATTCTTCATGTTTCTCAAATGGCATCTCAGGAAATAGTTGATACTCTGGCACAAATCATTTCATTGTCAAAGCCTCTCATTAAAAAGACTCTGCATGATGTATTACAAAGGCATCAGGTTACTCCTTCCAAGGCTATCCTTAATGATTTGCTGAATGCTGTAAATAATGCAAATATTTTTGCTTGTGCCACAGCTAAAGGGGAGGACTTTTGTTCAAATAAACATAGAAAAACGTTTATTGAAAAGAACTACCCTGTGGTAATGCCTGTTCAGTATGTATTGGAGCCTGGTTGTACAGCAATTCATGTCCCTATACTTGAGATGATCCAAAAAATGTTCCAACATACAGACATTCTTAACAGAATTATGGAAACACATATCTCTTATGAGGGTCTTTACACAAGCCACAGAGATGGGTCATATTTCCAAGGAAATGAGTTGTTTTCTTCATCAGAGCTTTCACTGCCACTGATACTGTACATTGATGACCTTGAAATTGCCAATCCATTGGGCACTTCAAGGAAAATACACAAACTGTGTGCAGTATGCTGGATGTTTGCTGATTTGCCAAGTAAATATCGTTCAGGTCTGCATGTCATTCAGCTAGCAGCATTATGTAAGGTACCTGATCTCCACAGGTGTGGCTATGAAAAAGCATTTGGTCCTTTGCTACAAGATCTAAAAACTCTTGAGCAAGATGGTGTATTTATTGAGTGCCTCGGTAAATCTGTTAAAGGGACTATCATGTGCGTTGTAGCTGACAACCTGGCAGCCCACTCATTGGCTGGGTTTAGTCAGTGTTTCAGAACTGGATTTATTTGTAGGTTTTGCAATGCAACACGAGACCTAATTCAGTCTCATGATGTTGGAGATGGCAAGTTTAGCCTCAGAACAAAAGCCAGTTATGACCAAAATGTGCAGGAAGTTCTACATGGGGATGGTCATAGTCAGGCAGGTGTGCAACGGAACTGCATCCTGACTGAAAGTTTGCAGTATTTTCATACAACCACAGGCTTCCCTCCTGATGTCCTCCATGACCTTTTTGAGGGAATTGTACCAGTGGAGTTGGCCGTGTGTATTCAGGAGATGATCCGGCAGAAATACTTTACTCTGGAGCAGTTGAATAGAAAAATCTTGTCCTTTCCTTACCAACACTCCGATAAAGTTGACAAACCAAAGCCCATCTCAAAGAACTTCTCTACAAGGAGGACCATTGGTGGCAATGGTCATGAGAATATCACATTGCTGAGAGTACTGCCATTCATGAACGGTAATGTAGTCCCTGAGGAAGATGCTGCTTGGACAGTGTTAATGGATTTGAAAGAGGTTGTTGAGCTTATGCTGTGCCCAAGATTTGATGAAGAGTCCATACAGTATTTGCAATCAAAGATAGATGACCACAGAAAAGTGCTGCAGGACATGTTTCCTGAGTTAAGACTGCTTCCAAAACATCATTATATAGAGCACTACCCAGCTCTTATACGTGCTTTTGGGCCACTTGTTCACTTATGGACAATGAGGTTCGAGGGTAAGCATCGCTTTTTCAAGAGGGTAATACATGACACACAAAACTTTAAGAATGTGTTAAAAACATTAGCAACACGGCACCAACACATGGTGGCCTACTACCTCAGTGCACCTTCATTTTTTCAGCCGCATCAGCAGATGACACACGTTACTTCTGTCATGGTTTCAGATCTTCCTGAAGTTGCACAAGAATACATAAAGGATAAAACTGACAGCAGAATTATTTACAGCACATCAAAGATCATTGTTGATGGCACAACTTACAGCCCTGGAATGTTTGTGTCTGTGGGGGAGGATGGGGGACTGCCACAGTTTAGCGAGATCAAAAAAATCCTCCTTGTTAACAATGATGCTGCATTTCTTTGCAAAGAACACAGGTCAAACTACACTGAACATATGAGGTCATATGAACTCTACCCAAGTTGTATGGCTATCCACTGCATGTCAGAGTTTAATGACCGCTTACCCCTTTCTGCATACTACGTGGAAGGGAAACTTCTTTTGACACCAAAACGTTTTATACTTCTACACTGAAAGTGAATTTGCATTATGTGATTTACATATATTTTAAGATTTGTTCCACCCCAAAGTTTCAAAATGCAGATGCTATGTGTGTGTGCGTGGTGGTGGTGGTGGTGGTGGGGGGGTTAAGAGAGCAACATTAGACAGTAGTCTGTAAAAAGTAGTTTGCTACTAGAAGTTCTGTTTCCTTTTAGATGTATCTCACTGATTTAATATCACATGATGTGTTTTTCCAAATATTTCTCCTGCAGTTTGTCTCTGTTTTGTAAAATAATTGCTGTGTAAATTCTTATGTATTGTTTGTATGCCTGGTGAGAAAATGTAGATTATGATGTTGAAATAGGGTTAGTTTTTACCGTGACTAAATGAAATGATGGCCTGTGACTATGTAACATGTAAAATACTTACCTTTGTTCTGGACTGTTGAAAGATTGGCCATAAAATGCTAGAATGCACCCAAAGTAACCAGCATAAATAGTAAGTTTATTTTGTTATGAAATTTACAGTGTACTTTTTAAATTAAAATTGGAAAACAAGACTATAGTATATTTGACCCCCCATTTTTGACAGCTGTAATGATTGCTGAGTATACAATTATCAGACCTTGTAAAGGCTATGTGTATGCATTACCACAAGAGGTACTGCTCCACTTGTGACAGTAAATCTTTTGGGCTATTGCTTGGTACTCAGATGCCAATTCTGAGTACCACTCTGCCATAAAAGGACACATAAAAAAAGGTCAATGGTATGATGTTCATTGTTTTTATATGTGTTGAGACCATTGTAGTATTTTTTAATCATCTCCATTCCTTGCTTTATACACAGGATGATGGCAGCATCTCAGAAATTCCTGCTGAGAGTTTACAGCACTACAGATGTTGTTGTGAAGGTTTCTCTAACTAAGCGGCCTGAGTCAGTGGAAGAACTAATCACCATACTCCGGGAGAAGCTCAACCCAAGGCTGGACTTTGAGTTTACCTTACAATACGAAGACCCTGACTTTGATGGGCAACTTACCTGTCTACATGATATTCAAGAGCTACTAGAGAAGAGCACATTAAAAATAGTGCGATCCGAAAGTGATGCCAGTTCTTGTGCAAGTTCTGACACAGACATCCTTCCTCATGTGCCTTTAGCTCAGCGTCTGAAGTGTTGGCCTGACACTTTCCCAGTACCTACCTTTTCTTACGAAGTCGAACATGTCCTTGAGAAGGGAAATAAAGCCTACGAGATGTCTGGAAAGCAACTGAAATTGACACGAGCCCAAAAGCACAACATCTTGGAGACCATGGCTTCAGTGATGCACACCTTCAAAGCCTATCCGAGTGACAGAGATGTGTGTTTGGCAGCAAAAGCTCTTGTTACCACTCATCCATGTCTTAATGAGCCTGGAAGTTATGGTTGGAAGACCAGTTTAAAATTTAAGATGGGAAATTACCGCACCAAGCTAGCCAGAGCCGGATGCGCGGAGGTGTCCGTGAATGCTGGTAGAAGGAGTATCAACAACCCAGAAGGAGAGTATCCCCACTCCAACATAAAAAGAGCACGAAAAGCTGAGGTAAACTACCTCCCAAACTTTCCAAGAGGAGAAGATAAGGCCAGTCTGGAGGAATTGAGAGTCCAGATAAAAAATGAGGTTGAGAAGACCGAGCCCAACAAAGTAATGATTGAAAAACTGATGCAAACAACCTTTGCACTGCGTCGCCATGAGATCGTTCAAGAAAACCCAATGGTGAAGGACTTCTTAGAGAAATGGCCAGCTCTGCGATTTCACTCACAGGTTGGTGTTGCACTGATTTTTTTTTCTTATTCAATTTAACTTGAAACAATGCAAGTTCAGCAGATCTTCAGATTCAGATTTATTTATTTAACATGTTAAACAAAGTACTTCTTATAAACATTGTTCAAATAGGTAGAAAAAATATCTTAAAGCGCTACAACTAAGCACCCTATTAGTTGTGGTGCTTCAACATTAACTCATTCGCTGCCAGCCGTTTCCTGATCGGTAAATCCCTTTCGCTGCCAGTGTTTCTCACCAATTTTATAGTTTTTTTAAGAGTCACAGAACGTTGTGTGCTAGGATGTTGACGCCAAAACAACCAAAACAAAGTGGAGACTCACCTTAAATCATGAAGAATCTGCGCATTTCGAGCATTATCCGTTCTTTCATAATCCGTTGTTGAATTGTGATCGGCAGAAGCTTTTCCGGTTCGCACCTCACTTTTTTTTACAGCAGCCACCCAAAACGATCTAACACATGGATTTTCTACTTCCTGATCACGTCATGTGTGATATATGCGGATGAAGATCGGCTTTAGAGGTGAGAGCTTCAGTCACGATGCGGGGGCTCATTCCAATGCCCACACAGTAAAAACATTCAAATGGCGACTTAAGTCTTCATTGGCAGTGAACGGTGGGATCTAAAATGACGACTTTAGTCATCAATGACAGTGAATGAGTTAAGCCGGGCGTACACTGTGCCACTTTTTCACTCGTAGCACTCAGCTTCAGCTCAAACTGTACGACTTCCTCGCAGGGCAGATCTCACGAGTCATGTGCTCACACTGCACGACCCAGTTCTTGGATGCGACCTGACTGCTCACACTGCACGCCTGGTAGCAACACGTCGGCCCTAAAATATGCTAAAAATAGCAGTTTTTACTCAACACGTGAGACTTTTTTGTCTTGTTTTGCCTGTTGTCCTTCGGGAGTGCTGCAGGACACACAGGGATTTATGGGGGCTGGATGAGTAAAATGAAATAAAGAAAGTAAATCTGTGTTTTGTGATCAGTTTAATTTGACATGAACACGACAAACACTCTTTCTTGACAATCTTTGTGAGTAAAAAACGTGTAGAAATTAAAACGAACAAAGTGTGTTATTAGGGAAATAGCGGGCGAGCGGTGTTGATGCAGGATTGCGTATGCGCCGTGAGCGGTTCTGATACTTTTTGCGTCGCAGCTGCTCGCAGCGCCGCTTCAAAAGTGCGATACCCTCACGAGGGACGAGCAAAATATTAAACACGCCAGAAGTTTGTGCGAGCTCTCGATAGCTGGTCATGTGGTGTTAATTGCCTCTCGTAACCCCCTGTATACTACACGACACTCGGCGCAAAACTCGCCCCGATCTTGTGGATTGTCGCACGAGTGGAAAATCAGCTCAAAAAAGTGAAAAAGTTGCACAGTGTACGCCCGGCTTTAAGTAGACAGGCAACCACAGATAAAACTTGCTGAGTCTATAATGTAGGAACTGATGTTCTCTTGAATTAAAGAGAAGTTTTCTTACATTCATTAGGCTCATGATGCCAAAAAATTTATTTCAGATTTGTGATACAGTTGTGTTGGAAAGGTTAAGTTCAAATTGAAAAACAAATGTTAAAATGACAGCATTAAGATAAAACTGGGCACAAATTTGGAAATCCCTCTTTAAATATAAGATTTCTCAATTTGGCCAGTAATTTTGCTTTATATTGGATGTTTTCATGTTCCTGTATTTTTAGGTTTGTGCGGAGTTCCACCGAGTCACAAACATCAACCTGCAGAAACAGTTCTATGCTGAACTTGACAGACACACACCACGACTTATGGCTCTATACAGACAGAAGGCCACATGCACTGGCAAGATATCGGAGGCTCTGCGAAACTTTCTGAATCATTATGATCATCAGGTGAATATTGATAAAGATAAAATTGCTACCACAAATTTAAAAAGTTTCTATGTTAATCACTCAATTTTGCTTGTTTTTAGACTGCCTATGGGCTACTGTTAATTGCTGGGAACATCTGTTTTCTATATACACCAAAGACAAATATAAATGCAACACTTTTGTTTTTGCTCCCATTATTCATGAGCTGAACTCAAACATCTGAAACTTGGTCCACATTCACAAAACACCCATGACTTTCAAATACTGTTCTGAAATCTGTCTACATGTGTGTTAGTGAGCACTTATCCTTTACCAAGATAAACCATCCCACCTCACAGGTGTGGCATATCAGGGGGCTGATTAGACAGCATGAATAATGTACAGGTGTGCCTTAGACTGCCCACAATAAAAGGCCACCCTAAAATGTGCAGTTTGATCAAACAGCACAATGCCACAGATGTTGCAACCTTTGAGGGAGCGTGCAATTGGCATGCTGACTGCAGGAATGTCTACCAGAGCTGTTGCCCATGAAAGGAATGTTCATCTCTCTACCATAAGCCGTCTTTAAAGGCGTTTCAGAGAACTTGGCAGTATATCCAACAGGCCTAAAAAATGGGAGCAAAAACAAAAGTGTTAGTCTAGATAACCCTGAAAAAAAAATGTTTAGGGTTTTTGTCAAATGAGTAAGAAACAAGCTCTTTGTCATGAGAGACAGGTTGTGTCTCAAAAGAAATGTCTCCAAAATTATGCAGAGCCTAATGTGTCATAAACATGTATTATCCCCAGGCAATGACACCTGTAAACTTAGTGTTAAATTAACTCTTATTTTCTTTTCCCTTTATAGGAAGCACCTGATGTCGATGTGAAACGGACTGCAGTGCTACGTGCCCTTCCAGTATACCTGCGGGAGGAAGACCCAGAATTCTTTAAGACATGTGATGTAAGTGTCTCTTGCATTACTTAAATTCTACCAGTGAGATAACATACCATGGATTATTTTATATGGTTTTATTACAAAGCAGCTTCACAATTGCTTTAACAAACATTGCATTAGACTTGTGTGTTGGGGGGGATCAAACCTGGGCTCAAATTAGGGTGTGTGTGTCACAAGTGGGGGTGGGAGGAGGCAAACCCAAATAGATTGTGCACACACAGAAACCCTGATTTCGCCATTGACCCTTTGCACGAGACTGCCCCGTTCTCCATGATGGTCGGCAAAAAGACCGTTTACACACGTCAAAATTCCGGTGAAGCTAGTCAAAACAAGCCCGTTGTAGCCCTTTATCGCTTTTATTTACTTGGTTTCACAGTAAAATGGTAACAACTTGCTACGTGGCCAGCTGCACTAACAGAAGGATGTAAAGTCAACTCATTTCTTTATTTTTTTTTTTCAAATAACGTTGATTGAGACTGAGGACGGAGATGAACTACAGCTATCAATCAAACGGACTAGCAACCCTCAGGTTTACAGCTAATGTGTTTTTACCTGGTAAAATTAACGTTTATTTAATTCATGACGAGGACAGGGACAAATGTGATGCGTTCTTCTGATGGATATTTCACCATGGAAGACGCACGCATACCGCGGTACCGTCCACTGTAGTGAACATGCATATTACACCAGAATTCCGTCGCCCCGTTTTTTTAAGATGGCGACTGTACGTCTTATGTTTATAAATGTTCTTCTGTAGCTGACAAGCAGAGCTAAAACACGTTGTTTTACAGGTATTATTCTCATGTCATGATGTGTTTTCATATATTTATATTTTAAACACTTGTCCATGAAAAGTTCATCAACTCTGCATCAGCCAGGTACTTCCTTAAATTTGAAGCAAGAACGCGGTAGTCTAAACGCTACTCGTTAATTCTGGTCGGCGCTCATTTTCCTATTTCGCGGGGCAGGGGCACAAACTTTCTGCTTCCTGTTTTGTTGCTCTCCTGTGTCTTCGTTTTGTTTCTTTCTCACATTCTTTTTGATGTTCTCTTTTTCATGTGATGAGTTGGCATCCTGTTTCTCCGACTTATGTTTTACTGCAGTTTTGCGTTAACGCACCAACAAAACCATACCTGTTGGTAGATTTGTAGCAAAGCGTTGATGACGTCGACGGCTTGATTGTAAAAATTCGTTGACGTCAGATCCAGTAGTCGACGCACCATGCCCACTTGTTGCATCCCCAGGAGTTTGTAAATAGAGGAGGAATCTGCCTGTTTTTCCTCTAGTTCGCCCTCTTCTCCGCCTTCACTAACATCTCCGCCAATTACCGAAGACTCGGAACAATGTCCGTCCGCTACTAGATTCCTTTCCTGTTTTGCCCGCCTTCGTCTCCCGCTCGATACCCAACCCTAGTTGCTATAAACACACAAATCTAATTAATTAATTTACACATTTTCTAAAAGAATAGTAAATAGAGGACTCTTGATGTGTCACTAACGTGTTACCCACAAGACTGCAGAATATTTTGCTAGATTACAAATAATGCTTGTCACGGCCCTTCAAGTCAACCTTACTTATTGATACTGTGTTTATTCCAGGCGGGCACGCTGGATGAGACGAACCTGACTGACACTCCAGTTGCCCTTCTCACAGTGGTTGCTGACGGCTCTGCTGAGACCAGTCCAGTCCATTTCAGTCCTTCAAGCATGGCTGTTGTGGTGGAAGGCGACTTGGTGATCCGTGATATTGCCAGATTTGCTGATGCATATGCCTTATTGTTTGGCTTGATCTATGCTCTGCATTTGGACTACCCCAGGAAACTAGTTCACACATTCACCTTTGTCCAGAAAGTCTTCATGGGGCTTGATGATGGCAAACCACTGAAACCCAGCCTTCATGCTCTTAGAAATGATTTGTTACAGAGTGAGTAGTTATGAAAGATATGCAAGGCAACTGGTTGTTAGGACAGGCACACTGTTACTGAGCACCTTCTTTGAAGTATTTTATTTAAAGCACTTTTAAGTTTTCTACAGGCTTTGGGTGGATGTAATTCCCATCAGTTTACCTCATTTTTTTTATACAAGGTTATTTGGGTGCCGATAAACATTATTTGAACCTGTTAAAAAATATTTATTTTATTTAATTTTTGTTTATTTAAAAAAATCTCTTTTGTGTTTGACCTTTTGTTTTTCATTTTTATATATTAGAAGAAAGATGACTTTTAGGACTGATGTTCTTTTATGATTTTATAAAAATGTTATTAAATGTTATTAGCAGCATTTTGTACGCTCACTTGTGCTCCAGTCCATGTCAGTGGTTCCATGTTGATGGTTTATAAAAAAAAACATTTATGTGATGTTTTTCACAAGTCCATAAAAATGTTAATAAACAAAATGTTAAGTGAATCGCCATATACTTTTTTTGAGTGGTCCACACACAATTAAAAAAGAAAGGTAATTTAATTAGTTTATAATCATATTACTTGAGTTTAGGTTGTAATATAATTACATTCTGTTGCATCAAATAATTTAACTACAAGTAACACAAAAATGTTAAAATTAAAATATATAAGTTTTAAGTTTATCTTAATTATTTAAATATAGAATATTATCTGAAAATTTTAAGTTAACAATAAATACAAATTTTGAGTACAACCATACTTAAAACATATGGTTTGTCTACTTAAAACTTTTGTGGAAACTGATTACCTCAAAAATTTTAAGTTCAGTCAACTTATTCGGGTTTACAGTAAAAGTAAGAATCCAGGCAGCAGTTTTTCTGGAGAGTTTAGAGGAGATGCAGGAAGATGAGAGACAGACAGGACAGGAAAATAGTTCATTAAAAACAAGAAAACAAAACAAAAAGTAAAATGTAGGTAGATTTATCTCCACTACACGTTTTTACCTGTATAAAGCAATAAGTTATACACATGTCATATTTATACATCTGATACAGCTGAGATCACCTTCAAAACTCAGTCACACACCCAGGGCTGTTTCAAGACATTTTGGGGGCCAAGGCAAAATGACCCCAACCCCCACCCCCCACCCCCCCACCCCAATAACTGGGCTCCCCAGAAGCCTCTGTAATTCATACCCTCTCCAGGAGTATTAGTTATACAGTGTTTGTAAAAGCTCCTCAGACATCACTGACATGTTCTAATATCATCAGATGAAAAACGTTGGTTACGTATTGTAACCCCAGATTCTATGAGTCTAGTCGCAGCCCTTAAGCGAGCTGCTATTGGAAGGGTGATCTCAGCATCAGCCAATCATGAAGAGCTTAAATGTACGCCCACCACGTGGGCACCCCTTGTGGGTTATATAAGTGGAACGACCCCACTGTTTGCCTCCGATGGCTCTTAGTCCTAACAGAACCAGTGGGGCCAGTGGCTTAAGGGCTGCAACTAGACTCATAGAATCTGGGGTTACAATACGTAACCAATGTTCTATTTCGTCTAGTCTTAGCCCTTAAGCGAGCTGCTATTGGAATAATGCGCAGCTGGATGGGTTTACGCCACACTGGTTAGCTCAACCAATGGACACACCCAACAAGTCTCCTTTTAGTGAGGGTCGCTCAGCCTCAGCCCAGGGCTTAAAAGGCTGACGCAGGCAGAGATAAGAGTGAGGCCCCCACTAAAAAATATCATCCACAAGAGGATGAAATTCATTCAAGTAAGGCTGATGTGGTGCCATAATGCATTCACTCAGCCTGCTGAGGTCCAAGCACTGAACGAGTGATGGATCCTGAAGACACATCTCGTAAATAATAATGAGTAAAGGAACAGGGTGAAGCCCATGAAGCAGCCTGACAAATGACTTCCATTGACACACCACTGTGGGGCGCCATAGAAGAGGAAATCCCTCTGGCTGAGTGAGCCCTGAGTGTCTCAGGGGGATCCTGCCCTGCTGATGTGTAAGCGTGAAATGGCGTCACATAGCCAGAGTCAAAGGCGCTGGGCCAACAGCGCGTGCCCAAGGGAAGACTCCCTGTAGTGCACAAACATGCTTTGTGAGCGGCGAATCCCTGAAGTGCGTGACACATATCGTGCGAGCGCGCGCACCGGGCAGAGAAGATGGGAAGTCGCCTCCTCATCAGAATTATGGGGAGGAGGAAAAAGTTCAGCCAATGAAAATTGACCTGGATTTGAAGGAAGTATTAATGTTTTTGGGCACAAAGGCTGGGGCATAAAACAGCAGACCCTCCATCTTCCCGGATCCTGAGGCATGCGGGAGCCACTGAGAGGGCGAGTTAGGTCGCTCGCTCTCTTGACTGATGCCAGTGCCAGCAGCAAGGCAGTTGTGACCGGAACTTGAGTGAGACCTGGTCCAAGGGTTCAAATGGGGCTTCAAATAAGCCACGCAGAACCACCGTTAGATCCCACTGGGGAACTAGCGGGCGGGACACAGGCCTGTTCCTTCTGACACCTTTTAGAAAACGTTTTGTGAGGGGATGACTGAAAACAGACCCATCACCAAAATCCTGGTGACAGGATGAGATAGCTGCAGCATGTTTTAATAGTGCTGAATGCGAGGCCCCTGTCCATCAGTATCTGTAGAAACGATAGGACATCCGCCAGCTGGCAGGAGAGCGCTTGAAAATTCCGCTCTGTGCACCATTTCTGGAAAGCTGCCCATTTAGCAGCATAAGATGTGATGGTGCACCCGCGCACTCTGAATCGTGGTGACCACATCATGCGGCAGCCCAGAAACAAACCCCTAAGCGTGACCGCTCAGTGGCCAGACTTACAGCCGTTGGCCTATTTCTGGAGGATGTTTGATTTTCCCATCCGCCTGGGGAGGGGCGTCCTCCCTTCGTGGGAGTCTCCACGGGGAGCCGGACAGTAGCGCTTGCAGGTCCGGAAACCATGACGCGGACAGGCGTCTGGGAGCCACCAGAATTACCGAGAGCTGTTCTGACCAAACTCGGTCCAGGAGACAGGGAATCAGAGGGACTGGTGGAAACGCATACAGGAGCGTTCGAGGCCAGGGCTGGTGTGAGAAGGCGTCCGCCCCAAACGGGGTTGGTCCCGGGGACTCAGGGAAAACCACAGGCGACACTGAGCGTTTTCGCGAGCCGTGAACAGCTCCACAGACAGTTCCCCGAACTTTATCCAGATGTGCAGAATGCAGACGCCAGTCGGAGTCGCGGGGACCCCTCTCGACAGGATGTCTGCCGCTACATTCAGGATCCCCAGAATGTAGGTGGCACAGCAGGTGGACATGTGCCCAACACAGTAAACCTGTGGCTACGCGCAATAGTGGGAGGGATCGAACTCCCCTTTGGCGATTTATGTAGGCTGTCGCCACCTGGCTGTCTGTGTGAACTTCGGCATGACGGCCATCGAGAAGGGCAGCAAAGTGTCTGAGCGCATTCCTCACTGTCATAAGCTCCAACACATTTATGTGCTCGTGCGTGTGGGAGGGCCAGCGATCTGCTGCCGTATGGGACAAGCACGTGCCCCCCACCCCAGACAGTGATGCATCCGTAAACACAGATACGTGTGACGTAGGACTTCCGATGGGGACCCCGTGTGAGAGGATGCAGGGGTTCCCCCAGTGAGCGAGGCCCCCGCCCACTGAGGGGGGAACCCTCAACATACGTCTCTTCTGACGTATCGGGTGTACCCGGAGGCGGATGAGCGTTGCAGGCGCCTCGAGCGCAACAACCCTAGTAGCACCGCCGAGTGGGCTGCAGCCATCATGTCCAGAAGTCTCATGACTAACAGGGCTCTCACGATCTTGCGGGGTTGCACGCGGGAGATCACCGTGGTGAGATCTGCCGCTCTCACGGGCGACAAACGTGCTCTCATTAGGGAGGCGTTCAGCTCCACCCCGAGAAACACAATCGACTGGGATGGAAGGATGGAGTTCTTCCCCCAGTTTCTAGAAAACCTCAGGGTTGACAGATGCTCTGTTAATTTCCTGGTTTGCTCTGACGCCTCGTCCTCGGACCAGGCGCATCGGAGCAGATCGTCCCGGTAAAATAAAACCCTCGTTCCCGCCGTGCGCAGTGGCTGCAGCGCGGTCTCCAGACATTTGGAGAAAGTGCGCTGCGCTAGCGAGTAGCCGAAAGGGAGGCATTCGTGCGCGCGTTTCGACAGCGGACGTGTGCTCGAGGTCACGTGAGGATTGGGTTCGCGCCCTTACCGCCGTCGCTTGTACCAGAGAACTGGGAGCGACCCATGGAGGGCTGTGCTCGAAAGGGCGAGTGTGAAACAGCTGGAAGAGGCTGATCCGCACCGCAGAGCGTGGAGTCCAAGGATGAAGGACGAGTGGGAGCCGGGCCCGTGCATGGGAACGACAAAGTGCCAGCGGATGGAGCCGCGCAACGTGCGCGCTTTGCGCGTGGTCGCGACAGCACCATGACATCCCGTCCCACCCAACGCTGTGGGGGAAGCGGGATGAGTCGGGCCTGGCCGTAGACTGGGGCCGTTGCGCAAATGGAGCGCACCCTTACAGCAAGCCGTGTAACATGACCGAGTCAGACTGTGTGAACATGCAGATGTGCTGCAGTGCTTGGTGCGGGGAACATCATGTGTGAGGATTCGGCAGAGGGTTCTGCAGAGGACTGTAGGACTGTGCTCTCGATGTGACGTTTTTTGGGTTTTATTTCAAAACCAAAATCATTCACAGAGTTAACATTAGTCATAAGCACACACATTCCCCCAACGAGTCGTTTTCGTGGTTGTTTTCGGCGAGATTCCTGTGACTGAGACTGCCAAGGCTGTGTCTGCTGACTCATTCGGAACCATTGGCCGCCAACTCCCTGGTCCCGCCTCAGTGGGAGGCCGGCTCTGCGGGGCTGGCCATGCAGCTGGGCGCCTGGAGTTTCCTCGCCGTTCGTCCCATCCTCTGGGGGAACGGCCGGAGTGCGAGGCTGACCGAGAGTGGACCAGGTCTCGCACCGTGGCTGAAAGTTCAGCCGCCGTCTGAGCCCTCTCGATGACGCTCGTAAGATGGGGACCAAACAGAACGTCAGAGGTGATGGGGCCTTCCAGCATCTCCCTGTGCAGGTGTTCAGGAATGGAGGGCAGGGCCTTGAGCCACAAGGCCCGCTGGATAAGGGTCTGCCAGGCAGCAATGCGAGCAGAACCGGTGAGTACAGCCACGCACAGATTGAGGATGGCATCAGCAGTTTTAGTAATGATGGTTTCTGACTCGACAGGAGCGTCAACCTCCTCCACCATTTTGGGAACGCCAAAGGCGAGAAGGCGATGTTATTTCCTGCAGCGCCGGTCTGGAAGGCGCACTGGTGTGCGCGATCGGCGAGCTGCCTCAGCAGCTGGTCATGCTTAGAAGAGGAAACTGCTCGCGGTCCAACGAGGTGGTTCTTGGCCTCGACGCCACACAGCGAAGCCAAGTCCGGCTCCAGTGAGGGAACGGATGGCCAGCCCAGGTCGGAGAAGCCCTCGACCTTGGTAATGGGCACATATGTGGAAATTGGCGCCTTGAACCCGGCAGGCTCGGAGAAGGCGGCGGACCAGCAGCTCATGGCAGCGGGGAAGCGTGGCCAGACGGGGTCTGGACAGTGCGTCTGCGTCGCCCCAAAAATTCCCGTCAATTCATCTGCCTCAGGCGGAGCCGGTTCTGGAACGGCTAGCCCCTTGCGGGCCGCAGCCGCGGAGATGATGGTGGGCAGCTCCTGGAGCAGTGCTCTAACTGCTGGCAGGGAGGAGCGAGAAGACACTGGGGCAGAAGGACCCGCTGAGCGAGGCTTGTCGACCTCCGTGTTGTACAGGAGGGAAAAGGGGCTACGGCAGCCAAGCTCGTCATGCTCCTCACGAGGCTCGTCGACCTCCTTGTTGTACAGGAGGGAATAATGGCTGCGGCAGCCAGCCTCGTCGTACTCCTCACGAGGCTCGTCGACCTCCATGTTGTACAGGAAGGAAGAAGGGCTATGGCAGCCAGCCTCGTGGTCGACCTCCGTGTTGTACAGGAGGGAAGAAGGGCTATGGCAGCCAGCCTCGCGGTCGACCTCCGTGTTGTACAGGAGGGAAGAAGAGCTATGGCAGCCAGCCTTGCGGTCGACCTCCGTGTTGTACCGGAGGGAAAAAGGGCTATGGCAGCCAGCTTCGTCGTACTCCTTGCTGTCGATGACATCGTCCAGTCGGTAGGAGCCAGCCGGCTCCTGGCCGACGTTGAAGAACTGTAACGCTTTGTCCAGCGAGTACATGCCAGCCACCGGAATTTCCTCGTCGGTGGTGGGGGTGAAGTACTCGACCCGGCGGACCTTTTCAGCCACGGGCAGAGCGGTACAAAACGGGCACGAGGCCTGGGGGTCAAGGCCAGGCCAGCGTGGTGAGCCCCGAGACAGACCTTACACTTGGCGTGCAGGTCGCAGCTGGAGATGGAGCCCGTCTGGCAGGCCGGGCAGATCCTGGCGTCGCTGGACATGGTCGGTGAGTAGATTTTTCTTGTATAATTGCTCTTAAAGGAAGCTCTTAAGCTTGGCGTGAAGAGAAAACGGAGGCGAACAGTGGGGTCGTTCCACTTATATAACCCACAAGGGATGCCCACGTGGTGGGCGTACATTTAAGCTCTTCATGATTGGCTGATGCTGAGATCACCCTTCCAATAGCAGCTCGCTTAAGGGCTAAGACTAGACGAAATAGAACTAAATTATCAGACATGATGTCTCATCTGCTGCTTTTCTAAACTTGCAAAAAGTAACAAAACCATTTGAAAGCCACTATTTGTGGATTCTCTGAAAGTTTCCATGGAGTGTGTGACAACTTATTTTTTCATTGATCCTATCGTCTAATCTCACAGCTGAAACAAGCATCCTTAATAATCTGTGCACAGGAAGCTTACCGATGCTGTAGTAAAACAAAAGGTATAATAATTTCTTATTAATAAAACCTTTTTGCAGCACTAAAGCAGAAAATGACATTTTGTAATAAATATGCTAAATATTTACACATGAATTGTTTTAGAGCCCTTTTATTGGCAGAATCTGATATTAATTTAGTTCTTACAAAAAATGGGTCCCAACATGGTTTGTGTGGCGTTGCCATAGTGTGACGTCATAGGCACAGATCCCCTGTCCTCTTCTTTGGAAATGGAAATATGGTCACCCTATAATAAACAAACTGTCCACCCGAGCTTTTGCACTGCACAGAGACGCTTCGCTGACTACGACTTTGAACGTCAGTTGAGAGCGGTTGAGAGTCAATCTCATGCAGACTGACCAATGAAGAGAGGGCCTCAAGTTAAGAACCTCTCCTCATTGGTCAATCCACACGAGGTGGGTCAAAGGTTGGGCTGCATGGTGGCGCAGTTGTTAGCACTGTTGCCTTGCAGCACGGAGGTCGCAGGTTCGAAACTCGGCTGTGGCCTTTCTGCGTGGAGTTGCGTGTTCTCCCCATGCATGCGTGGGTTTCCTCCGGGTACTCCGGTTTCTCCCACAGATCACAACATGCCCTATAGGTTATAAATTGTAAGTCGCTTTGGATAAAAGCATCTGCTAAGTAAATAAGCATAAACATAAACATACCCTGAGCGGGTTACGTGATGTCAGGCATTCAAGTATTGAGTATATTTACTGCATATTACAGTAAAATATTCTGTATGTGACCATATTATGGTGATCCTTGGGTCGTGATGATGGGGCCCTTTAATATTGTTGCCCAGGGTACAACAAAGTGTTAATCTGGCCCTACCTATAACCCAGTTGGTTTTGTTTTAATTCAATTCAAAATATTTTCTGCCATTTTCTCTGTCTAGAGCCAAAGCGCGTTCCTCCTCCAGTATCACCGAAGCCTCGCGGGCCTCCGACAGCTCCCAAACCCGGCAAAGCTGTAGCGTCTCCAGTTACCATGAGCCCGGCTGCAGCCAGTCCCACCTCGGCCCCTAAGCCTTCCTCTGTAGCCCCTCTTCCAGCTCTTGACACCCCCTCCGGCCCCTGTCTGTCTCCGGGACTCCCTCCTACTTCCCCGTCTCCAGCTCAGAGTCCCTCCATTTCGTCGCCTCACCCCGTCAAACCTCCTCGCTCCTCCATCGCTGGCCTCACTATTGACCTCCTGGGAGGAAGGGAGGTGGAGGAGGAAGAGGAGGAGGGGAGGAGAGAGAAGGAGGCAGAACCCGAGGAAGCCTTTAAGGAGGGATGGAGCGAAGGAGGAGATGGTGGGTCACGTGGAGGAAAGGGAGAAAGAGGGAGAGATTCAGAATCGTTTGGAGGAGACCAGCGCCTCCTTGGCTGCAGCTCTGCAGGCTGTAGAGCACAAAATAAAGGAGGAGGACAAGCTAAATGAGTGAGTATGAAGTCATGCTAGAGAGTAGAATCAAATAGAATCCTCTACATAGGATGTCCGGGTAAATAAAACACATCACATTATCTTTTTGTTTTCTGAAATAAACAAGTCTAATATGAAATTTCAGAAATTAGGTCTGGATGAGGGGCAAAAATCTAGAAAATCATCTTTACTTCCAGATTTCCCCCTTTACATTACCTAAAACTAAAAAACTCAAATGAAGAAAACAGTCATTGTCCAGATAGTCTAATCGATTTTTACTTTCTTTATGAAGCTCCATGGCAGCCATGACACCTAATAAAAACATGATTTCTCATGTACTTTACTGGTCTTTGTAAAACGTCATTCTCCTATAAAATGAAAACAATTGTAAAACATGAGTTTTTTTAAGTATAAACAATAAACAAAAATCATGATTTATATTATTATTTTGGGATTTATCATTACTTTTTGTTGATCTTTACAATTAGTCGACTGTATTGTATGTTTCTGAGTTTGTCAGGTGTGTGTGTGTGTGTGTGTGTGTGTGTGTGTGTGTGTGTGTGTGTGTGTGTGTGTGTGTGTGTGTGTGTGTGTGTGTGTGTGTGTGTGTGTGTGTGTGTGTGTGTGTGTGTGTGTGTGTGAAAATAGTGAATGTCACCCATAAACTGAATCTTAAAGCTGCTTTCCATCAGAGGAGGAACTCACCTCCACACTTGACTCGTTGATTATGTCAGCATGTTTATCGAAGCCTCAATAAAAGCTAATTATTCCATTTTTCTTTTTCAAAATTTTCCAGCCAAAAAGGAACCGTCTCTATCCTGGATGACATCGGCAGCATGTTTGACGACTTGACAGACCAACTGGATGCAATGCTCGGCTGATCTCCAGCCCCCCTCCCCCTGACCCATCCCTCATGACATGTAGGTGTGTGAGAAGACGGCGCTCCCAAGACTAAATGCTGGCGCTTTGGGGAGCTCGTGTTTGAGCGTCTGGCCCTCCCATGTTAAGTGCTTCCTGAGTAGCCTTGAAGAGGGAGTCCTCTTTATCTGGTGCAGTAGCTCTGGCTCCTTCTCCTGATGCGAGGAAGCTGCTCCCACACAACCTCTGACCTCTGCAGCCCAGCGCGTTACCTCCACCCAGCCTCAGACTGCTGCGTGGACCGAGAAGCACAATAATTCATCTCAACACAAAAAAGGCTGGCTTAGACAAACTTTCGGGTGCAGTCTTACGAAGAAACTAAGCACACTAATTGTCTCAAAGGCAAGTAGACGGAGAGATGAACAAACACGACACGCTCTGATGAGGATTTTTAAAAGCACACTGAAACACAGACCGCTCTCTTTGCGTCCGTCTCTCCTCTAAAATATCAAAAGGATTCATTTTTCCAGATGCGTCGTAGCCTCCGTTTCTCCTCTGTACGAGTGGAGGCCAGTGGTTCGCTGGACTTCCTGACCCGCATGTCATCTCTTCTCACGTTGTTGTTGGTGCTCTTGCTGTTATTGTTGGTGTTGTTTCGAGCGTGTGCGTAGTCCCTGCTTTTTGCTCATGTCAGTGTCCTCCTGCTCGTACAGTACGTAGTTACGCTAAGGATTAGACCAGCTATGAATTCTTAAGACACTTGCACATAAATCAGATCGCCGGTGTTCATCTCTACACATGAAGGTTTTATGCTTGATAATAATAATAAGAGACCAACACACGTGAGGTACAACCAGTGGCGGTTCTACATGGAATTACTCCCCGGGCGAGGCCCCCTTTGAACCCCCCCCCCCCCTCTCCAATAGATCTTTATCATGATCCATAATATTTTAGAATTACCTCTGTAATTGTAATTTAAACTGACAAAAAACTGTAGACTACCAAAAATGCCAACTTTTACAGAACAAATCATGTAAAAATAATCAGTGCAGCCATCTGCAATAAATAAACAGGATAGTTAGTGGTGACTGGGGAGTTTTCTTCTATTCAATTCAAGTTTATTTATATAGCGCCAAATCACGACAAGAGTCGTCTCAAGGCATTTCACGTAATAAACATTCCAATTCAGGTCAGTTCACTGAGCCAATCAGAAAAAATGTTTCCTATATAAGGAACCCAGCAAATTGCATCAAGTCACTGACTAGTGTCAATGACTTTACAGCAATCCTCATACTAAGCAAGCATAAAGCGACAGTGGAGAGGAAAACTCCCTTTTAACAGGAAGAAACCTCCAGAGAATCCTGGCTCAGTATAAGCAGCCATCCTCCACTACTCACTGGGGATCGAGAACACACACACACACACACACACACACACACACACACACACACACACACACACACACACACACACACACACACACACACACACACACACACACACACACACACACACTAATGTGTCTATAGTTATATTGTGATTTCTTAGTAAATATTCTATTTGGTGAGAGATAAACTTTATTATATTTATCCTAGTGGATCTATAATTAAACAGATAAACTAGTAGTAGCACATCCACTGTCAAGGAAAGCAAAAAGTTATTATCAGGAGAGGGAGAAAGTTTAAGTGGTTAGCAGCAGTGTGCTAGACAATAGCCCCCTCCATGAGGCCACCACAGCTCAGCAGAACAGTGTTGTAGCTTCTTCTGGGGAGAAAAACAGAGAGAAAACAGCTGAAATTGCAGAAAATAATACAGTTAAAGAGCAGATTGTGGAAGAAAGCAGTAGAATGTGAAAAGTGGTCAGTGTATCTTCCAGCAGTCTAAAGCCTGGTTTATGCTTCTCCGTCAGCTCCGCAAGGGACAGATACGCACGGATTGACGGAAGCGTTTTGCTCTCGTGCTTCTCCGTCTCCTGGAGAGTGTTGCAAAGCAATTGCCGGGCAGGACAACAGAGGGTGCAGCGCTGTTCTGTGGTATCCTGTCATGTATCGGTCCAAGATCGTGTGTTTATATTGTGTTTTTGGGTATATAAGAGACTTTTAACACGGACATATTTGTCTCTCATTCTCCCACCTCTTCATGCGCTCCCCACCTCTAAACCCACGTTTCCTGTCATTTCCGTCCACAAATAAAACGCTTGCTGCGCATCTTTTCACTCCTCCATTCACGGGATTTAAACGTTCATATTTTTAGAGTTTTTTCGCGAGGTATTCTTCAAGCTTCTCCATGTCTGCCGCTAGTTAAACTCGGCTCTCTTTGCAATGGCGGCGCTGTAAACAACAGCTGCGTCCTGACCAATCACAAGCTTGCGTAATCCGTCTCGTTCGACGGATGTTTAAAAAAGTGGGCTCGACTCCGTACGTACTTGCGTGCCTGCCGAAGCCCTACGCAAGGACAGATAATGGCGTTGCGTGTCTCCGCACTGACGCAGACGGAGAAGCATAAATCAGGCTTAAGCCTATAGCAGCATAACTACAGAGATAACTCATGATAATCTATCCTATTTAGATGGAGGCATGTTGGAGTCAGGACAAGGGAGAGCCGTCTTTACCGACTGTACACTCCACCTCCCTCTACTCCCCCACTTGTCCAGATTTAGGCTAACATCAGATTTTAACCATAGGCCCTATCAAATAAAAATGTTTTAAGCCTATTCTTAAAAGTAGACAAAGTGTCTGCCTCATGCACTAAGGCTGGGAGCTGGTTCCACAGGAGAGGAGCCTGATAACTAAAAGATCTGCCTCCCATCCTAATTTTAGATATTCTGGGAACCACCAGTAGACCTGCAGTCTGAGAGCGAAATGCTCGGTTAGGAACGTATGGAACAATCAGATCACTGATGTATGATGGAGCTTGATTATTAAGAGCTTTTTATGTGAGAAGAAGGATCTTAAAATCTATTCTGAATTTAACAGGTAGCCAATGTAGGGAAGCTAAGACAGGAGAGATATAATCTCTCTTTTTAATTCTCATCAGAACTCTAGCTGCAGCATTTTGGACAAGCTGAAGACTTTTAACTACATTCTGTGGACTTCCTGAGAGTAATGAATTACAGTAATCCAGTCTTGATGTAATAAATGCATGAACTAGTTTTTCAGCATCACTCCTGGAAAGGATGCTTCTAATCTTAGCAATATTCCGAAGGTGCATGGAAAAAGGAAATCCTACAAACCTGTTTAACCTGGGATTTGAATGTCATGGTCAAAGATAACACCAAGGTTCCTTACTTTGTTCTCGGAGATTAATGTAATGCCATTCAGGTCAGGTGATTGGCTAAGCAATTTCCTTTTCTGGATTTATGGTCCAAAGATGAGAACTTCCGTCTTGTCTTGATTTAAAAGCAAAAAGTTTAGAGTCATCCAATTTTTTATGTCCTCAAGACAAGCCTGTAATCTACCCAACCGATTAGGTTCATCAGGGTTAATGGATAAATATAACTGAGTATCGTCAGCATAACAGTGGACGTTTATCCCATGCTTTCTAATGATTTTACCAATTGGGAGCATATATATAGTAAAAAGAATTGGTCCAAGCACTGAACCCTGTGGTACTCCACAAGTAACCCTGGAGTATGAAGACGATTTGTCATGTACATTTACAAAATGAAATCTGTCAGATAGGTAGGATTTAAACCAGCCTAGCGCTGTTCCTTTGATCCCTACAACATGTTCAAGTCTTTCTAAAAGAACATTGTGATCAACTGTGTCAAAGGCAGCACTGAGATCTAACAAGACTAGAACAGATACAAGATTCTTATCCGAGGCCATGAGAATATCATTTGTAACTCTCACTAATGCAGTTTCAGTGCTGTGATACTCTAAAACCAGAACAGAGCATTAGTGTTTAAATGCTCACATACTTGGATGGCCACTATTTTGTCCAGGACTATGGATAAAAATGGAAGGTTAGATATTGATCTATAATTCATTGGGTCATCTGGATCCAGAGAAGGCTTCTTAAGTGAAGGTTTGATTACAGCAACCTTAAAATCTTGTGGTACATATCCATTTACTAAGGATAGATTTATTATATGTAGAATGGGGGCAGTAACCAAAGGAAATGCTTCTTTAAATAATTTGGTTGGGATTGGATCCAAAACGCAAGTTGAAGGTTTACACTGCAAAAATTAGCCATCTTAAAATAAGCTAAAAAATAGTTGAATTTAGTCTAAATGACCTTAAATTAAGTGAAATAATCTGCCAGTGCAGCAAGATAATTGCACTTGGTAAGACTTCTTGAAATAAGAAAAAATATCTACACTTTAGACAAGTGACAGATTTCTTAATACAAGTAGTGAAACACTAATTTCAAGAGCAAAATTAAATAAAATTAACTCAAAACTAGCCTGTTGGTGCTTTTTTCAGTTTTTTATCCCTCTCATGTTGAGATGAACAATCTTGGAACAAGCAACTGTACAAGATTAATCTTCTGCAATCAAGAATCATTAATAGGTTTTGTTTTAAATCAAGACAAAGAATTTATAATAAAAGAAATTAGGCACAGGGTGTAATAAACAACCTTTATTTGAAATTTCTTTTCAAATGTCAAAAATTTTTCCAAACATCGCACAGATCAACGACTTTCTTAACAAATCTTAATTTTAAGCGTATTGTTTTGTATTCCTCTAACACATGAAGAACCTCAACATTTCATATACTAAAACTTTGTTTTAA